CTGATTCCCGCTGAAGTGGGCGGATTGAGTGACGTTCGATTCGGGGGATGTTCTGGGGGCGGGGCTGGCATGACGCGCTGCGTGCTACTAGCCCGACAGTGGAAACGCGACATGATTTCGGCCTCACTGCTCAACCTCCAGGGCGATTGGCCCGGCCTGGCCCGATAAAAGCCCTGGCTCGCACTGGCCCGATAGTGGAAATGCGGCTAATCCTCAATTGGTACTAATAGGCCCAAACTGTGCCAAGAAAATATCCCCCACACCATTACACCACCACCACCACCACAGCTTGAACCATTTATACAAGGCAGGGTTGATCCACGCTTTCAAATTGTTGATGCTAAATTTTAACCCTACTATCCAAATGTTGCAGCAGAAATAAAGACCCATCAGATCAGCTAACATTTTTCCAATGTTCTTTTGTCCAATTTTGTTGAGCCTGTGTGAAGTATAGGCTCAGTAGCTGACAGGAGTGGCACCCGGTGTGGTCTTCTATAATGCTGTAGCTCATCCACCTCAAGGTTTGATGTGTTGTGCATTCAGAGATGCTCTTCTGCTTACCTCGGTTGTAACAAGTAGTTATTTGAGTTACTGTTGCCTTTTTATCAGCTCGAACTAGTCTGGCCATTCTCCTCTGACCTCTGGCATCAACTTCTCTGTAAATCCTAGAGATAGACGATCAGCATTTTCTGAAATACACAGACCAGCTCCTCTGGCACTAGCAACCATGCCACATTTACTTAAATCACCTTTCTTGCTCGGTTTGAACTGCAGCAGATTGTCTTGATCATGTCTGCATGCCTAAATGCATTGTTGCTGCCATGGGATTGGCTGATTGAAAAATGTGCGTTAACAAGCAGTTGGACAGGTGTGTCTAATAAAGTGGCCAACAAATTTTGAGTTGGTTGTACAACGAAACTACTATAAAGTGCCGTAGGTAAAACTGTAGGTAAAACTGCCGTAGACTTTTGTGTCTGTCATTTTGTATTTTTGTGAATGACATTTTACAAACACATAACTATTAAATTGCAACTTTAAATTCAAAATACAAGTTTTGATTATTTTCTGTGTGCAAATCGGGATATTCAGCTATTAACATAATGTAATGTCTAAACCATGGTTGGCGACGCAGTGGCACAGAAGTTAGAGAAGGTCGCTGGTTCGAGCCTCGGCTGGGTCAGTTGGCATTTTTGTGTAGAGTTTGCATGTTCTCCCTGCGTTCACATGGGTTTCCTCCGGGTGCTCTGGTTTCCCCCACAGTCCAAAGATATGCGGTTCTGGTGAATTGGGTAGGCTAAATTGTCCGTAGTGTATGAGTGTTTGTGGATGTTTCTCATAGATGGGTTGCGGCTGGAAGCACATCCGCTGCGTAGAAACGTGCCAGATAAGTTGGCAGTTCATTCTGCCGTGGCGACCCTGGATTAAAAAAGGAACTGAGCTGAAAAAAAATTTAAAGAATGAACTACACCAGGGGTGTCAAGCTCAATTCCTGGAGCATCGCAATCCCGCAGAGCTTAGTTCCAGCCCTGTTTCAACACATATAAGGCATCAAACAAGCGTAACGCAGCGGTCAAACTAGAGTTTGATACTGCGAAATTCTGACGTGCGGCGCTGCGAAAAAGGGCGGGATTAAACAAGTTTATTAGACATTTAAAAAAGCGAGTGATTGCTCCATGTTTTAAATTTCTGTCCAGAGAGTTCATGTTTGGATCCTTGATTGGTCTCATGCAGTTCATTCAGCTGGATCAGCTTTTGAATTGTTGCTCAAAGCATCTTCAGGGAAAACCATGATGTTGTTTTCAAAGCCAGACCTCTTTCTTTGCAAAAAGGTGAAACTGACTAGATTTTTTCAAAGGTTTGTGAAGTAGAGCTGTTCCATCACCTGAAGGCTTACAGTATAATAATTATAGAACTGCAGAGAGAATGATAAAAACACCATTATTGTAATTACAAATTTACCAATTTTACTGACAACTTTTATTATTATTATATTTAGAGTATTTCAAATGTTTCAGCCTAAAATAGTTTTTTTTTTATTATTTACTCACCCTATAATAATAAATAAATGAGTGAAAATAGCGATTTACATACACTGTAAAACCACAAAGTCAAGGTAACTAGAACCATTTGAGGAAACCGATTGCAACAAACCATCAAAGTTCAAAAACATTCTAATGAGTACTGTGAACTTTTGAGTTACATATGAGTAAACAAAACAATTTAAGCACAGTAAAACCCAATAAATGAAAAGAATTCAAACCAACTGAGTACTGTAAAACCCAATTAGTTAAGGCAACTCAAACCATTTGGGGAAACCGATTGCTACAAACCATTGAGAGCAATTTGGGGAGAACATACAAACCTCTTTTCAAATGAGTAGAATTAATTTTCAGTAAATTTTGAGTTACTGAAACTACATTCATTTCACTTGATAAAGTAGACTATTGTGTTTTGCAGTGTATGTTTGGCAGACATATTCATGAAAAAAGTGCTGTTGCATATATCTGTTTTTGAATAAACATGCCACCTGCTGTACATTTAAGGTACTGCTATATATATGTTCATTTCATCTAGCCTATGCAGTAGAGAGTTATGTACAGTTTCTTTCAGTGGCTGTTTTAGGAATTTAAGCTTTGTGAATATTTGTTTGTCATTTATTAAACAGTGACTCTATACAGTGTTAAACAGATGTATTATATTTCTACTTTGATTAGTTCTTTATTTTCTTGTACACACACATATTCTTTCTGTCTCAGATATTCTATGCCAGCGGTGAAACCAAAATGATCATTTTGCTGATTTTTAACACAAATTAAAGACAGCAACACCCCTGTGTATGGAACAAAATCAATGCCAAAAGTCTTGAATTAAAAAGCTTGTTGAATATCACAAACTGAAAAAAATAATACACCGTATTAACATGTTCTTGCATTTTAATGACTTGAATTCCAGGGTTTGTATTTTTAGGTCCTGAAATTTAACATATCTGTTTATTTAAGCTGTGAATATTTCAACGAAAAATATTTCAAACACGTTTTCATACTTAAAAATTCAATAATTCATATTCAATTTTTCAGATTTCACTTACAAAATATTCAATACCCTTTAAAAATACAATGTATAATATTCAAAAGGTAATTTTCAGTTCATTTTATTTCAGTTCAAATATTCGCTTCCATAAATTCAGTGAATCAAATTCGACTGTTAAAATTCAACATTACATCCCGGAACTGCAGGAGAAGCAATAGATTGCAGATTGAAGATCGCCAGCTGCTCTAGCTTTCACCAGCAGGTGGAGATGGAATAATGTAAGATTTTTAACCCAGTAAACAGGCGAGAAAAAGGCTAATAAAGGCACAAAAGTAGCATTTAGTATTAATATCAATGCCTTGGACATTATAAATGATAAAAAGTATGAGTAAAATGAGTAAATGCGGTTTTAGTCATCTATATTTGCCCTTATGTAACGGAAGCCATCTGGTGATCGCGTAAATCTCAGTCCTCGGATCCAGCGACAGACGTTGTTCTGCAATCTTTAGCATCCTCGGAGCTTGTCTCCCATGCCGGCTCGCTCCCTGCTCGGACCGGTGCAGTTACTTGCACATAAACCGTCTTTTGATGAATATGATGTTACACATTGTCTATCTTTATTGACTCTTTCTTCCATAGACGCAAAGTATTATATAGACAGCTAAAGAATATAAACGTAAGAGAAACAGGAGAGGAAATATTATAATAGTAATACAAAATAGATAAACATTGACAGGGCTAAGAACAATTAGAGATTTTATGAGAATGTCACAGAAAACAGTTTACTTGGAACTGTTAAACAGAGTTCAGGTATGATTTAAGGTTGGTTATGGATGGGGCGTCTAATTTAAAATAATTTAACATAACGTGCGAATGCATGGTTAAGATGGCTTTGCGTCTATGGAAGAAAGAGTCAATAGATTTTTTTTTTCCAGCTTAGTCCCTTTATTAATCTGAAAAAATCTTCATTCAAAGGGCTATTCACTCCTTCCCCTTAGCCTTACGCTTACAAGCTAAAGAGAATTGGGACACCCCTAACCCTTGGCGTGAACGCGCAAAACAAGGGGTAAGGGGAAGGGCTGAGGGGTAGAATTGGAATTGGGCCTTAATTCACAACAAAAACAAATTCTTCAAACTGATAACAAAGAAATTAGTCACACTCAATCTCTCACCAGAGCCTCTCAAAATGTACTGCATGTATCCCTCAGAGTATGTTAGCTGTTTTAGAGTTAAAACAATAAAGGCTGGGGAGGTGGGCTTCGAAGTATGACATTAAGGGGTCTTGATATGTAAATATCTGAAACTTCCAACAAGGAACATACTCAAGATAAAAGTGGAATTTGAATTTATAACATTTGGCTTTACTGAATGTGTCCCACAACCTACAGCTAATTTTGCTCAGAAAAACAGAGACAGTCCTTGCTGCAGCTTGAGGACATAGCCTACTTGACCAGGTCCATTACATAGTAGAAAAACATTTACACCTCTCCCAACCCTAAACCCAACCGTCACGGTAGCATGGACATTATGTTAGTGGGGGTTACAATGTCTACTACGTTTTGGACCTGGTCCAGTACGTCATCGTGATACAGACTGCAGCGAGGACATCTTGGAGAAACAGAGCAAAGCTTTGTTCAAAATAATTTTTTCATGACCATTAGGTGGCTCTGTCTCTAAACTTGGTTCTTGTGATGCCTTGTCTGACTATGTGAGCCAGGGCAGGCTCAAAATAACTCAAGTTAAGATTGTGTATATATTATTAAGTATCTTATAGACTTTCTTTGTTAAATTTGGACCACATTTTAACACTCATTGCATGTGCAATATTCATTGCTGACATTTTTTCCACAGCTGTTCAGGGATGTAAATTTAGCATAAAGTTATTATATGCTGTTTTAAATTAACACTTTGCTAAAAGTGACATCACATGGGTCACCCAGAATAAACCTATTTAATCATGTTTTGTTCAGAAGTCAAGCCAAGGCAGGACTCAAGGTGAAGTGATGCCCACTCTGGACATGACCCTCTTTGACTGGACTGATTATGAGGATATGAAGCCTGCAGACAGTTGGCCATCAAACAAAAGAAAAGGTAAGAAAACACATTTTCAAAGTTTAATCAGTAAGACTTATTTTAAAATTTGCTTCCTTTAGAAGTTGTATGTCAAGATATATACTGTGATTAAAAATGTGATTTTAATATTGAATAAATTTTCTCTAGATTATTATTATTATTATTATTATTTACATCTGAGCATAAATAACCTGCAAACTCACAGATAGTGGTCTGTCTGTTTTCCTAAAAGATAAACGTCGCAGCAAAAACAAGAGCAATGGAAACACAACAACTGAGGCTGGAATTGTTGAACCATGTGACCATCATCTTGACTGCCTTTCTGGTCAGTGCATTCAGTACTCTTTCCCCCAGCCCAAATATATCTTTTTGATTTAATAGGGTTTCACTTGTGTATCTTGAAATATTTTTTTTGTTCTGAATCACTCAGTTGTTTATTTCCTTTTTTCAATTTAGAATAAAACTGAACCTTTAATTGTCATTTATAAGGAATTTATAGGCATAAATTATCCTCACATCAGATTAGGTCACAAAAGTTGTTTTAATTTACATTTATTAAAAAACAAAGCAACTATTATTATGTACCTCAATAATAATAAATGTTAATTTTAGTAGTTTTATCACAATTATCTTAAAAGATGCTAACTACTCTAAAAGGCCATGAAACTCTCTGTCTCACACCTCTAGTTTGAAAAAAGTAAGGATAGTGGGTGTACCCAGCTTTGTTAAGACGTGGAAGTCCAGCGGATTTTCGTTACTTGTGTAAAACTCAGCCCGATGAGGCTTTATACAGATCGTGCTTACCGAATTTTTATATTACTCGTGTCTGTGCTTGGAACGTATGGTTTATTTTCACAGCGTTATTTAGCATAATCTCTGCATGAATTCACAGACTGCTCTTGTGTGTCTCCCTCGTGCAACTCTCTTGCTTCATTTCTCGTTCTCTTTCTTTTTTTCCTTTTCCCTCCATACCCGAGATATCACGAGAGTAGAAACCAACTTTATTTAAACATATTTTTAACATTAATAATAAATATTATAACATAATATTCCCCTTCCTCTAAGAAATGTCCTTATTTTTAATATTTTTTTCAACTTACTTTGTCATTACAGAATAGTGATAATAGTATATTCTCCCAAATTGCATAGCAAAAACACCAGCCAATAACTGAAAACAATAAAACAATCTGTCAACACTGCAACATAGCCCTAAAACCAATTATACAGATTCACAACAGTGGTTAGTAACAACACACACCCATATCCCTAGACAAACAGCTTAAAAGTATAACCAAGGCAAAGCAGTTCAGTGACAGTACGTAATCTAGTAGAGTTGAAAGTCTTTCAAGTAAGCAGGTGGTCGATGTGACCGTAAATGTCTGTGTGGTGTGACAGAAGGCACTGGGGCCCGAGTTGGTCCTTCCCCCACCACTAAGGTTGGCGCTTGGCTGTCTGCACTACGGGTGGTGTGGGAGCAATGACTCTTGCATTCGCAGGCACAATATCCTGTAAAGAGCTGTATTCCACCACAAGTTTGTTTGTTTCTGGCAAGTGTGATCCGGCGGGGGGCCCAGGGGTCACTGGCGTAAAAAAGGGGGGAAGGAGAACTGATAGCGTGTTCAGGGTTGTTGGTTTGGGGATGGGCTAAGGTGAGGGGTGAGTGCATGACTGTGAGTGAATAGTTATATATGGCTTCATACAGTTATAGTGAATGACTTTAGGCTTTGTATGTGGTTTGGATGTGTCACGAACAGTGAAATCTACAGGGATCAAGGTACCAGGCGGTGCGACTGACTGTAGAACTTTATAAGGACCCACCCAGTAAGGATGAAGTTTATTATGCATGTTGGCCGGGTCATCAATGAGCACCCTGTCACCAGGTTTGTATGGGGTGTATTTAACATGTCGATCTTTATAATGTCGCTGATGTTCTTGTCTCTAAGAGCAGTTGCTGAACGATGAGCAGCAGACAATCTTTGCCGTAGTGAATTGGCAAATGCTGCAGGCGTGCAGGTTTACTTCAGGCGTCACTGAAGTGACAATGGAGCTATTATGAGACAGTATGTTTCAGTATGTGGGACCCGGGCCTCACCGCTATGCGCTAAGTAAATTGGTGTAAACCCTGTGCTGGAATGATTCATTGTAATTTTGAGATGTGACGTATTATTGCGGAAAAGCTTCGGTCACTAAGCTAGCCAGTTCGGCTGCATAAACCTAAAGGGGTTCCTGAGATTTGCGTAGTCAAGCATTCAGATATGTTTGAAATGTGGCAAAAAATGTTGCACATCCAAAAACAGCACTCAATCTGGCTGAATCTTAGATCATAGTCGGTTTTAAGAGCAGGAGAAAGTGACTGCCAGTATGCAAATGCAGGTTCTGTTAGTTTAGCAGGAAGGAGTGCAGCTTTATCAGGTGGTGTGGCAGAGACATTCAATGCAACTACAAATCTCTGTATCCATGAGCCAAATGATTCAACACCATCGCCCGAAAAAGGAGCAGGAAGATCTATCCTAAAATGGCGCATTTAAATTTGCAGCAAGCATCGCGTTTTGTGGCAGCGGCTGCAATATTGTCGTCGTCAGACATTCACGTGTGAGCAGCGGCAGCAAAAGGGGGAGAAAGAGGGGAAAAAGACGGCACGTAGTCCGGCTTGCAAAAAAATTATAGCTCGTAAAATATTGTGAACAATACAAACGTGCCAGCAAGTCAATGTGATTGTATTTTGTATAAGTACAAAGTCAAGCAGAAAACATCCATACAAAAAACGAAAGCACAGATAGCCAACCGCGCTGCCACTAGTGTAAAACTCGGCCCGATGAGGCTTTATACAGTTCGTGCTTACTGAGTTTTATCCGTGGGTTCTTGGCTATTACCCGGTCTGTTAAGGCCATTAGAAAGAAAAGTCCCAATCAACTTCTGTCCTTGGAACGTTTATTTTCACAGCGTTATTCAGCATTCTAGAGTTCACACTTAGATATTGCTTGACAGCTGTAAGCAGGTTTGGCATGCTGTCCCGGGAGAGAATCCTGAGCTCGGAGATAGTTGAGCCCAGGGCTCCCGCCAGGTCCATAGAGCATATGAGGGGAGTACGAGATCAGGTGGTTCTCGAGAGCTCCCCTTTTTGTAAAGGAGAAAAAGGAAGAGAAAGGGGTGGATGGGGGGTTTCTTCGGAAAACGAAGATAAGGGAGTAATGTCTAGCTAGGCTACTTATAGTGGGTTAGGATAGATCTGATTGGCTAACTAATGAGTGTAGATAGGTAACCAGCTGCTGTCAATTATATCACGTGCTCCTCTCGAAATTAGTTTAAAAACTTCACTTCAAGAGTTCACACTTAGATATTGCTTGACAGCTGTAAGCAGGTTTGGCATGCTGTCCCGGGACAGAACCCTGAGCTCGGAGATAGTTGAGCCCAGGGCTCCCGCCAGGTCCATAGAGCATGTGAGGGGAGTACGAGATCAGGTGGTTCTCGAGAGCTCCCCAAATGCATGAAGCTCAGGATAGCAGCCGTGTATTCGAAGAAACTCCCCAAAAGGCTTGAAATGCTATATCCGGCTGCTGGATATAGTTATTTGAAAAAGAAAAGGTAAAGAGGGCTCCTTTGAAGCAAAGGGTGAAACAGGTTCCTGCGGGAACCCGAGCAGAGTTGGCTTGGGCTGTGAATACTCCTGCTGAAGTAGAGACTCGAGGAGACCCCTGCGGGGGTCAGAGCCATGGGGTGGGCGGGAATCCGGCTGGAGTCATTATAAGGGAAGGGGAAGGAAGGACTCCGGCTGGAGAGGGGGGTGAAGGGGGGCAGGGGGGGGCGGGGACTCCGAAGGAGTAATTTGCTCAAGGAACACTCCTTGCGGAGATAGAGCTGGGAGGTGGCAGCACTATATATAATTATATATTTATATGAAACATATAGATATATAAATTTATAATGGGGTAATCTAGGGCCTTGGGGGGGCGTTTTTACTGACTCTTGCGAGAGTCGAAGCTCTTGACTCTCCTGCGGGAGAGAGAGCTGTATGTGCCATCTCCAGCTGGAGTCGGGAAAAGGAATGGTTGGTGAAGCCCCAGCTGGAGGGTGAAATGGCAGTTGGGCGATAACCCCTGCGGGGGTCCGGTGCTCGGGATTAACTCCGCGGGAGTTAGAGCTTGAGGGTGACAGCACTATATATAAATATATATTTATATGTGTGGGTGCATATATATATACATATATATAAATAAATTTCAAAAATAAAAGATAAGTGTGAGAAATAAACAAAAATAAACATAAATAAAAGCTAGGGCCGGGGAGGGTCGGTGACATGACTCGTGTCACAGCTCGGGGTTGGGTGAGCTATTTAGCTGGCTCCAGTAGGAGTCGGGAAAGATGAGGGGGAAGTGAAGACTCTTACTGGAGGGTGACGGGCGGTATAGGTGCTCTGGGGGTGTTCCTGCGGGAACAGAGCGTGAGGGTGACAGCACTATATATAAATTCATATTTATATGCGTGGGTGCATATAGATATAAATTTATATAAATAAAATCAAACAGAGAGAAAAATAAATAGTGCTATACTATATGTCATTATGGAATGACATATAATATAAAAAGATAAGGCCAGTGCAGTGAGATGATTCCTGCGGGAATCGAAGCTCGGGGTAACGCCCCTGCGGGGGCCAGAGCCATGGGGGGGGGGGGTCTTACAGAAGTTAGAAAAGTTGGGGGGCAGTGAAAACTTCTGTGGCAGCGGCCGGGGGGGGCAGGGTTGACAAGGGGGCCTGGGCAGGGAGAGAACTCCTACTGGAGTTAGGTGAGTGAAAAGGGGGAGAAGGCTGAGTGCAAATCAGCTGGAAGGAAGAAAGGAAGTTAGATGGCTGGGTCATGCCCGCGCCCTTGGGAGACTGGGTAGTTCCTCTGCCCTCGGGAAGCTGGTATGGTTGGGTCGTATTCTCTCCCTGGACTAGGCCCATGCCCTTGGCCGCTGGGATTACTGCGTCTGCTGGTGAGGGTCCTATGAGCTTCCCTGAGATGGCTGTGGCTGAGTCAGATATAAGATTTGAAGGCGTCGGGAGACCACCTTCCTAGTGTTTGTATGTGTTGTTACGATAGCCCTTGTGTGCTGCTGTGGTGGTGGCTCCAATTCTGAATGAGTGACTGGATTATAAATCTGGTGGAAAGCCTGAATAGTCCTATGACTTTAAGGTGTTTTGAAACCAAAAATGGTATTGAACGGAATGTGTGGATGTGTTGAGCAGTGAGAAACTGATGAGGTGTTCTGGGTTAACTTAAAATGTATAAATGAATGCTGACGCAAATTGTGTATGCTGTGGTTATGGGATTATCATGTTAAAAGGAGAGATGGAGTCAGCTGCGGCTCTGCTTCTGATACCAGTTTCTGAAAATAAAGCAAAAAGAGAGTCAGCGATTTCCTATGCAACTAGGAACATGTACAACAGTAAAAAAATTTTTTCATTTTTTTTTTTTTTTCCCAGAATGTATTGACGATATTGCCCGTTAGAAGCGCATTGGCGGCCCCGATTATATACCCCACGAAGGGGGCAGCATCTGTGTAAAAAGGATATACTGAGGATGAAATTGGATAGCTAATAAATGAATGGCTTCTATTCCAGCGCTTAAGGAAGGAAGCATAAGCAGGTTGCATGCTTTAAGCGCCACCTGATGGTTACAAACCTTTATGAATTTCTTTTCTGTTAAACCAGGAGTCACCAAATATGGTACCGATGGGCACCAGGTAGCCCACGAGGCTCTCGTGTGTTGCTCACAGGCCTGTTCTAAAATAGCTCACCATAACGCCACTTACTAGTAAGCTTTCTCTAATATAGAAGTAATAAAATAGTGTTGCACATTGATATATTAATTACAGGGTATTTCCTACCCTGTTAAATCATTGTTGGTAACTTTAAGAGAATCATAACATGATCAGTGACTTCACCTGGATGAATATTATTAATTATTACCAAAAACTTAAATTATAATTATAAGTAAATTGAGCAATTTGTTATTTGAGAAGGGTTTATCAAACTGGTAGCCCTCCACGTTAATCGGTGCCCGAAAGTAGCTCTTAGTTTCAGAGGTTGGTGACTCCCGTGTTAAACGCTAAAGACAACATTTTGAAGAAAGCTGAAAACCTGTAACCATTGACTTTCACAGGAAGGAAATAAATACTAAGGAAGTCAATGCGGCTGTCCGTAGTGCCCAGCCACAATTCATGACACTTCGTATTCTGCCGCGCTGCGGAGCGCTATTTGTATAATTAATTAGTTTATTTGATAAAGTACGAATGCGTGAGTCTGGTGTGCATTAATCTACTATTCTCTGTCGTAAGCTCGCCGCGTCACCGCGCCGTCGGCGCCTCTGGTGCGCGACGCCCTTCAGGCAGAGTTTGTTACGGCCAAGATCGGATTTAGATCATTTCTCTTCTACTCCGGAGATTGCTGCTGCGAGATGAAGTAGGTGAGTGACGAAAAGGCATCTCTGCGGGATAATGCGCATGTGTGTTTGATGTTCTAAGATGGAGAGCAGTTTATGCTTAGCGTGATATTTCTTCCAGAATATAAAAGGGGACTAATTTGTCGATTTATTCAAGTAGCTTATTAATGCTTGAAATTCTATCACTCCAAATTGATGCTTAAGAATTCTATAGAAGTGCTTAAGCCGGAGGTTCTTCTGCAATGAGAATGCAAATATTAGAAAACCGGTCACTAGTTTAGCTGGGGGATATTAGGGAGAGAGAAACGGGGAACTTGTAGGTGAATTACGTGCAAACGCCGTAGTTATTGGCGAAATCCAGCGGATCGTTTTTAAGCATAAATGTGTGGGCTACTTCTGCATCCGAATGTTAAACGGACTACGCAATATAATTGTGACCTCCGATTGCCAGAAATCGGGTGGCGGGTGTAATGTTGATTGCAACCGAGCGCTGCAGCCGTCTAGATTAGATAGATTGCTTGGTTTATAACGTGATAATTTAAGCATATTCATTAGGCAGAATCATGCTGTTGAAGCTGAAAAAAGGCAGAATTATGAGGAGATGAAAGAGCCGTTATTAGACGTTTTTGGAAGCGTTCTAATGCCCATTTCAGTAGGGCTGGTATGGATGTGCTTAACAGGGAATTGCTCTGTGATTTCTGGTTTAGCGTTGGTGGACGGCTAGTGGGGTTGTGGGAAGGGAGCTCCAGTAGACGAAACCTGGAATGAGAAATTCAGAAAATTAGGTCAGTTACAAACGTGATTCAGTAAAAGCATAAACATATTGACAAAAGTCGACAAGTAGTTTCTGTTTTCACTAGGCTTAGCACTTGGCTGACGGCGTATGCACCGCCGCAGTAGCTGCGAGCTTGTATAAATTAGAGGGGAAAAAGCAATGATACGCAAGGTAGAGGAGCGAGGTGCGTAGCCCGTAGGTGGTAAGGATCGCTGAAAGAGGAGGACTGGAGTGTGCACTGGAATCGGGAGCTGCAGGCTGGAAGAGGTGAGGTGGGATTCCCAAGAGTTGCTTTATTGTCCGGGAGATTGGTTTTATCCGTGTTTAGAATTATGATTGCTGCAATATGTCCAAATCCAATTTTGCTTTTTAATCCTTTCCTTGATTCTCCGGGGAGGCGGAGAGATTGCGGGTTTAATGTCTGTTTAGGATAGGGGGTGTGGTAGGAGCATGTTATGTCCTGGGGGTGGCGGTGAAGACGTGGATTCGCAAGTTTTTTGGGTTTATTGCAGCGGCTTTGAATTGTGGTCCCGGCGTCTAGGAGTTTGGAGGAGTTCAGTGACAGTCGTTGTTGGATATGAGAGAGGCATGATGATGCTGGAGAAGGTACGTAGCGGAACTGGGGATTGCATTGTGATCTGGCTGGAGTGGATAGGCCTACGGCCTCTTGTTGGAGCCTCGGTCTCGAGCTGACTTTCATGCTGGGCTGGTTGTTGTTAAGACGGGGCTGGTGTTTCATGGAGCGCGGAGCTTTCTTTCTTGTATGTAGCTGCGCTGATGCTGTTGTGATCTCCGCCGCCGTCGCTGTTGTTGTTGTTTTTGTCATTTTTTGTAATTGCTGACGATGGTAGTAAAGGTGGTGTGGTATTGTAGTTGAAGAATAGTAGGAGATTTGGAGGATCCGTTTTGTCCGTGAGTAACTTTGGAGGAGCTAGAGCGGACCTGTCGTTTGCTTCTTTGGAAAACGAAGATAAGGGAGTAATGTCTAGCTAGGCTACTTATAGTGGGTTAGGATAGATCTGATTGGCTAACTAATGAGTGTAGATAGGTGACCAGCTGCTGTCAATTATATCACGTGCTCCTCTCGAAATTAGTTTAAAAACTTCACTAATCTCTGCATGAATTCACAGACTACTTTTGTGCGTCTCCCGCGTGCAACTCTCTCGCTTCACTTCTCGTTCTCTTTCTTTTTTCCTTTCCCTCTGTACACGAGATATCGCGAGAGTAGAATCCAACATTATCTAAACACATTTTTAACTCTTACACTTGCATAAAAAAACAAATTTACACCGGTAACCCAAACACAGACGCAGGGGAGATGGACAGCGATTCAGAGAGCAGCGTTTACAGCGGATCTGAGATTCCACCAAATTTCCCTCAGTCACATTATCTGGTTGATGACAGTGCTGGTCATTTTTAATATTTCAACTTTGAAAAAGTGAACTGTTGTAATCTTAGCATGCTACATCTGTTGTGAAAACATTGGTCTGGCACCCCACCTCACACTGCACTTCGGGTTCAGAGCAGTTCTGTTCATATGCATGCAAATGCGGCAGACTAAAAAAGTTTTGCATTTTGCTGCGTTGTGATTGCATGAAATCAATAGAAGATCAAAACACGACCTCTCAGTGTAGAAATTTAAAATATGGACCAGACACTTGCTTTCTTTAATTTTGCATGCTCAAACTCTAGTTTGACCGCAGCTTTACACTGTGGTGAAGGTTTTCTTGGGCCACTTTCATTCAATCACCTGTTAGCACAATGCCTGACAGCTATCAGTATTTGAACATAGGTGCAGTTAGTGAACCTAAATAACTTTGCCATAAGCTTTTATGGTTCAAGAGTGGTTCAAGAAACATGCTGGTGAATTTCTCTTAATGCCTTAGCTTGTGAATTCACCCAACACTTGTCTTTTTGTTCTTGTTTATGTAAAGCACTTTAAATTGCCACTGTGTATTAAATGAACTATATAAAAAAACTTGCCTTGCGTTGACATTAACCCAATTGTGAATTTGTGGTTTAAGTTGGAAAAGTGGGTCAATTCTACATTATAACCACCCCGCCATTTTTTTTGGGCTGAAGGTGTTTATAATGTAGCAGCATACCAGAGTAGTTTATATATCGAGTGGTCAGGATTTTGTAAAGTGTTACATTTGGGTAGGAATGATATGTAGTAGTGGGTGAGAACTCATTTTTTAAGGTTTTAATGATTTTTTTTGTTGTTGTTCAACATAAGTGGTTGGACAAACATGGATAAAACATGATAAATAATGTCTGATATTGTTTACATTTAAACTTTTCTTATTGTGCTTCGACCAGGTTCCTGTTGTGACCTCAGAGAATTTGAATGTAAACCTCACAACCGTGGCCTAAATAACAAGTGTTTTGATGACTGCATGTGTGAGGAGGGTGGGTATGACTATTTCATTTTGTTTTTTGTTAGAGGCACTAGAGAACTAGATCTAGAATAAGAAACATGTCTGTGTCAAATCACCAATAACATTTAAATTAATTAGTATTTTACACAAAGAAATGTATATATAAATTTTATTTTTTAGGACTAATAAGATTTTTACAATAAAGCACCCCTATTAAGGATTTTGAAAACTATTTTGTTTTTGAGATTCCCCAAGAACAGGCTGACATCTATGCAAGGTCACAAACTAATTATTTGTCTTAAAATATGCATGTATTTTTACTTTATATGCTTTATGACTCTCAAACAAGTTACTCAACTGAACATTTTGCTGTAATTGGTTCAATAACACAGTCTGTTGTGATTGGTCTACTGCATGCCACACATTTTGGAAAGAGAAAGCATGCAACAAGTGGGCAGACACTCTGCTAAAGTTTTCTTGTTGAAATCAAGATTAAAAGGCTTTGTATGTGTTTTGAAAATAAATGGTTTTAAATGTGCAGTATGTAAGTTTGACAACCAGTGGTTAAACTAGGTATTGCTGGATCAAAAAAAACAAAAAAAAAACGCTAGAGCAGGTTGCCAGACTGAGGACCAAAGGGAGTGATTTAATAGCTGATTAAAGACTGATTTAATGTTCTAAATTCATGTTCTAAATAAAAGGAACAGCATGTGATAAAAGGAATATTTCCATATTAAAAGAAGTTTTTGTCTTAACCAACACCTGAAATTTATATTTTAGAAACAGCTTTTATTTCTTGCAGCTGAACAACAGAAAACTGACAATGATCAGCTCAGGTACACCTCATGTACTTTATTTAGTGTTAAATGCTACTAATGTTAGTTTGAATGCCATTTTACATGATATTTATTGCTATAATGAAAGCAGCAGCAGATCTTCACCTCAGATCTTGAAAATAAAATAAACCATTTGAAATTGAACTTTAGAACTATGACTCAAAACCCACACATATCAGTGATTCAGCTTGTACAATAATAATGTTAAAGAGGGTTAATATGTATTATGTAGATTATAAACCTTACCATTTCATTGGCGTTCTGTCTGGTGCAAACAGCCAAATTGCGTATCACTGCAAATCTCATCACGTAGCATGTTGTTAGGACACGGGTTACAATGTAACCTGCTCACCTATTGTTTACATTCGTAATATTTAAATGATTTGCTAATTAATAACCGCTTCATGTGGAACTCTGAATCTGTGTCTCATTTCGGAGGCTGCTACTGTCCACCGGAGGTTGCATTTCGGTCATGGGCACATACTTTGAAAGCCTTTCTGACTGAATGAATGAAGACAACCTGAGGTGCTAAAATAAAATTGGCTAAAGTGGCATTGGGTGGGTTAAAATAACTAAAACAAAGACAGCTGTTCCAGAACTTAACAGACATTTTCAAAGCAGAATAACTGACTTAAGCATTGTTTTTCAGATAAACAATTATGTTCACTTAGCATGCTTCTGAAATATCTGCAAACATATTATGGCATTTTTATGTTTTAGAGGAGTCAAAAACTTTCACACAGCACCTTTAAGTCTAAACTGTACTCTGAATTAACTCTTTCTTTCGAGAAAAAATAACTTAATTTACTGTGCACTTCAAGATTTAAAACTTTACAGAATAGTTTTTTTTCATTTAGAGCTGTCAATCACTACATGAAATATAGTTTTAAAACCTAAAGTCAAATGTTAAACAGTCAAAATGTTAAACTTCTGTTTAACATTTGACTTTAGATAAGCATCCAGAATTAAAGTGCCCTGATTATGGGTTTTTGAAAATTATATTTCATGTAGTGATTGACAGCTCTAAATGAAAGAAAATATTCTGTACATTTTTAAATCTTGAAATCTCTTTTCCACTCATATTTCAAATAAATTCACAACACAAAGTCTTCTAAATGAATGATGACAGCAGTACAAATGTTTATAATTTTTTTTAGGTCTCCGATGTTACGCCAAGTTCCACCGCAAGCGGAGAGTGACCCGAAGACGTGGCCGCTGTGTGGACCCTGAATCAGTCAACAGCAACCAAGGAGCTTTTATTACCGTCTGACTGTAACAAATGCAGTATAAAGACAGATGAGAGCCTATACCCTAATACCCCATTACCAGACATGCAAGACTTGCTCATCGAATGTGTTTACATGAACTACACAATTACTGCTGAGATTTTTTATTTAAATTATAAGTAATTTATCCTTTGGAAACACTAAAAGACAAACTAAATTTACAAGTTATAGTTCAAAGAACCAGAATTAACAGTGTCATTAGATAAACTTAAGAAAGAGATAAAGAAATCCCAGAAGGCACAGGACGTCAAAACATGACATCAGATTGATGTTGTACCCCAACATCATGGGACGTTGCATTTTGTTTGGAAATGAAAATCAGGTTGACGTCAGAATCCAAAGTCAGGCCAGCGTCAATGTCCAACGTCATACAGACGTTGCATTTTGGTTACTTTCCAACACAATCTAAAACGATAAAATATCAATGTCTAATGATGTTACAGCTTGACGTTGTGTGGATGATATCAATATGACATTGGACTTTGGTGATTGAATGTCAGTAATTGACATCAATATGGTGGTTTAAGATGTTGTCCCGACTTTGGATTTTTTTTGTCACTTTCCAACACAACCTAAAACCAACAAAATATCAATGTCATTTCACAACGTTTTTGGACGTCAAAATAACATTGTCATTAGATGCTGATGACCTAAATCTAACCTGATATTAATGTTTTAAGATGTTGTGTGTCTGCTTGGGTGTTTTCCCTTCCTTGAAAACATTTCTGAAGTTTTGCTTTTTTTAGCTATTAGCTGTTTAGCTGTTCATTTAAATTTTATTTATAATAATTTGGCACCCTTGCCCTTGAATATAAGTGTGATCAGCACATTACTAGACATCATATAACTATTTATCTAGGGAACAACTCACAAGTTCTCGTGATTTATGCTTGTTTTTTTCCAATAATGGCATTTATTGAATAATGTATGTATAGTGTATTTTGCTAGATAGTCAGCTGAAAATAAACATTTACTGTAAATACCTCCTCAAACTATCCAAGATGTTGGTGATATTTTTTCTTCAGTAGAACAGTAAAGATTTTTAGCTAAACATGTTGTCCTCTGGTATCCATTAAATGTAAGTCAGTTGATGTTGTTACTTTGTGTCACGATCGGTGAAGGGAAAAAGGAGCAAGGACCCAAGCGCAGAGTGAAGTAGGATTTATTAATTAAAAAATAAAATAAAAGGCAAAAATAAACAACCCCGAGGGGGAAAACACTACTACAACAAACAATAAAACAAACAAACAAACAAACTTGACTGGGCAGGCACGACAAGGCAGGGCTGGACACAGCAGGACAGGTAAACATCGACAACATATGACAACAGATGAACATAATTAACTAATAATGGGTTAACAAGGAGGGTGGGACTAGACAATAGACGGGAGAGCGCATGACACAGAGAGACAACACAAGCCATGCGCTCACATGACAAGAACATGCGGCCAATAAGAGAACTCATCAACCGCATGTTCATGACAAGACGAGCACAACACTGAAGCACACAACAAAAAGCACGTGACCACAATGTAAACATCGGGCCACGTGCTTTGACAAAAGACGCAAACACACGATAGATGAACACCTTACCGTGCGCTCACACATAAGCAACGCGCATGCTTCATCTCAGCACCAACCAAAACTGAAACCAACTAGACGGAGGCGCCGAGAATAAAGCAGCGCGCTGCTGACAGAACAAACACTAGTACAGGAGCGCGTGCGTCTGACGGACGCAGTGCGTGCGCGGCCACATCAAGCGGCAGCGCACACACTCTGCGTACACCCTTGACGGCGCGCGCGCACACAGAGACAGAAACAGGACCGGACATGGGTAGTGTCAGAGCTCTGCTACCAAAACAAGAATTTACAAAGACCAGAGTGGCAGAACCCTGACACTAGCCCCCCCCCAAAAGGGACGCCACCTGGCGTCCCTAAAGGGTACATCCAACAAGGTACAAGACAGACAAGAAACACTACAAGACAACAAAACAGGCAACATCAGACACAAGACAGGGAGGTGAACAGGCAAGACGACATGAAGGGGGGGAGGGAGGGAAGCCAAGCCAGACCCAACAAGACAAACAAGGGAGGGATGGGAGGGCAAGACCAGGGAAGATCAGGAGGGACAGTCCAGGGTGGATTTAGTGGGTCGGGGGCCCCGGCAGGGAGCCAGGGTGGAGCCGGAGGATCCATCCAGGGTGGAAGAGAGGAACACCAGGGAGGAGCAGGAGGGACGACCCAGGGAGAGTCTATCAGGGGAGACAAGGCAGGAGGTCGGTGGGGAGCCGGCAGGGCTGGAGGCCTGTGGGGAGCCGGCTGGGCTGGAGGCCTGTGGGGAGCCGGCTGGGCTGGAAGCGGCTGGGCTGAAGCCAGCAGGGCTGGAGACCAGAGGGGAGCCGGCAGGGCAAGGAGCCGGGCTGGGACTGGCAGGGCAAGATGTCTGGGTGGCGGCGGCAGGGCAAGACGTCTGGGTGGCGGCGGCAGGGCAAGACGTCTGGGTGGCGGCGGCAGGGCAAGACGTCTGGGTGGCGCCGGCAGGGCAAGGGGTCGAGCTGTGGCCGGCTGGGCAAGACGTCTGGGTGGCGCCGGCAGGGCAAGACGTCTGGGTGTCGCCGGCAGGGCAAGACGTCTGGGTGTCGCCGGCAGGGCAAGACGTCTGGGTGGCGCCGGCAGGGCAAGACGTCTGGGTGTCGGCGGCAGGGCAAGACGTCTGGGTGGCGCCGGCAGGGCAAGACGTCTGGGTGGCGCCGGCAGGGCAAGACGTCTGGGTGGCGCCGGCAGGGCAAGGGGCCGGGCTGTGGCCGGCAGGGCAAGACGTCTGGGTGGCGCCGGCAGGTCAAGGAGCCAGGCTGTGGCCGGCTGGGCAAGACATCTGGGTGGCGCCGGCAGGGCAAGACGTCTGGGTGTTGCCGGGAGGGCAAGACGTCTGGGTGTCGCCGGGAGGGCAAGACGTCTGGGTGTCGCCGGCAGGGCAAGACGTCTGGGTGTCGCCGGCAGGGCAAGACGTCTGGGTGTCACCGGCAGGGCAAGACGTCTGGGTGTCGCCGGCAGGGCAAGACGTCTGGGTGGCGCCGGCAGGGCAAGACGTCTGGGTGGCGCCGGCAGGGCAAGGGGTCGGGCTGTGGCCGGCTGGGCAAGACGTCTGGGTGGCGCCGGCAGGGCAAGACGTCTGGGTGGCGCCGGCAGGGCAAGGAGCCGGGCTGTGGCCGGCTGGGCAAGACGTCTGGGTGGCGCCGGCAGGGCAAGACGTCTGGGTGGTGCCGGCAGGGCAAGGAGGCGGACTGGGACCGGCACTGAGCTGCGCTCAGGGGCTGGAGCCAACACTGGAGGGCGCTCAGGGGCTGGAGCCGACACTGGAGGGCGCTCAGGGGCTGGAGCCGACACTGGAGGGCGCTCAGGGGCTGGAGCCGACACTGGAGGGCGCTCAGGGGCTGGAGCCGACACTGGAGGGCGCTCAGGGGCTGGAGCCGACACTGGAGGGCGCTCAGGGGCTGGAGCCGACACTGGAGGGCGCTCTGGGGCTGGAGCTGACACTGCAGCAGAGGTCTTGCTCTTTAACCTCCACTTTTGAGTGCGGGTCAGCCCTTGCGGGCTGGACATGTGTTGGGAGGTGGTGCTGGTGTAAGGGATCCTCTTCTCTTGAAGGATCACTCCCTCCTTTAGCTGCAGAGCAGAGGGCAACAGAGAGCTGGGATTGGGATGTTCGCCATGAGCAGCCTGATGAACCAAATGCTCCACAAACTGATGGTAAGATAGCCCTCCCAACTTCAGCATCTGCTGGATATTGAGGGGCTTGTCGAGGGCATAGTTGAGGAGCTTCACCAGGGCTTGATCGTTGAACCCCAGCCCCTCTGCTGTCACACAAAATTTGGCTGTGAAATTGCCCACATCCATGCCACATTGCCGCAGCGACTGCAAACTGAGGAGCTGCAGTATGCGCCTGGAGAAGGGGCTGTCTTCACTCCGCTGGGTCCTTATTTTGGCGAGTTCGTACTGTCACGATCGGTGAAGGGAAAAAGGAGCAAGGACCCAAGCGCAGAGTGAAGTAGGATTTATTAATTAAAAAATAAAATAAAAGGCAAAAATAAACAACCCCAGAGGGGGAAAACACTACTACAACAAACAATAAAACAAACAAACAAACAAACAAACAAACAAACAAACATGACTGGACAGGCACGACAAGGCAGGGCTGGAAACAGCAGGACAGGTAAACATCGACAACATATGATGACGAACTCGCACAGGACAGCAGACATAAGGGGTTTATAAACTGTAGGAAATTAACAAAAAACAGATGAACATAATTAACTAATAATGGGTTAACAAGGAGGGTGGGACTAGACAATAGACGGGAGAGCGCATGACACAGAGAGACAACACAAGCCATGCACTCACATGACAAGAACATGCGGCCAATGAGAGAACTCATCAACCGCATGTTTATGACAAGACGAGCACAACACTGAAGCACACGACAAAAAGCACGTGACCACAATGTAAACATCGGGCCACGTGCTTTGACAAAAGACGCAAGCACACGATAGATGAACACCTTACCGTATCTCAGCACCAACCAAAACTGAAACCAACTAGACGGAGGCGCCGAGAATAAAGCAGCGCGCTGCTGACAGAACAAACACAAACACTAGTACAAGAGCGCGCGCGTCTGATGGACGCAGTGCGTGCGCGGCCACATCAAGCGGCAGCGTACACTCTGCGTACACCCTTGACGGCGCGCGCGCACACAGAGACAGAAACAGGACCGGACATGGGTAGTGTCAGAGTTCTGCTACCAAAACAAGAATTTACAAAGACCAGAGTGGCAGAACCCTGACACTTTGAGGTACAAAAATACGCAAGCAAAATGTAATTCATTCATTCATTTTTTTTTGTCGGCTTAGTCCCTTTATTAATCCGGAGTTGCCTCAGCAGGATGAACCGCCAACTTATCCTGCACGCTTTTACACAGCGGATGCCCTTCCAGCCACAACCCATCTCTGGGAAACATGCACACTCTTACACTACGGACAATTTTAGCCTACCCAATTCACCGGTACCACATGTCTTTGGACTGTGGGGGAAACCGGAGTACCCGGAGGAAACCCACGCAATCGCAACTGAGCCGAGGTTCGAACTAGTGACCTTCTTGCAGTGAGGCGACAGCAGAGTCAGAGAGTATGCAAGTGTGGGGATTAATTATGTTTTGCATGCATGCATGTTTTTTTTTTCTCTCAAAGTAATGGCACCCACTGACCACCATTATATACCAGAGGACTACAGTTTCAGCTAAATATTGTTTTTACTGTTTTACTGAAGAAACCTAAACTTTGGGTTGCCTGAGGGTGAGAAATTGAACAGCTTATTTTAACTTTTAGGTGAAAATCTTTTACTTTACAGTAGTTTAAGCACAAAAGGAGTTCCATGACTTGATTCTTGACCCTGTTTAATGAACCTGACTCAACAGGATATCTCATATCTGTATCCAGATGAAAAAAATATGATAAGCTTACTGATAGACCTATTATGCAAGTTGGTAAACGTTTTTGCATGTGAGAACAAAATGGCATATTTGATTAAAGTTTTTAAACACAAATGGCATCTTTATACATATTTCAAATTAATTGAACTTAAAAACTAATAATGAGCCTTGAAAAATGTGCATTATAGTTAAACATAAATCAATCCTTGCTTTAAGTCAACCTACAGTATACAGTATATGTACAGATATTGTTCATCTTCCCATGAAGGTTGAACAATTTTTAGACTTAAAATTTTGAATAGCTTTAAAATCAACCCAGGCTCATTCGGAAAAACTTACTGCTAGATACCTTTCTGGAGATCTCCAAATACGTTCCAGGAGCTACGTTTTTTTTTTTTTTTTTGCAGTTTTTGTTTTAGCAAATCCACCAGAGGCTGCTGTGCATGCTTTTTAGGATCTCAAATTTCCTTCTCCACTGCCATTTGCGCCTGCTGTTCTAGTGTGAATCCATTAAAGGCTTGACTGACCCACCCTCCTTCTTCCCTAAACCCAACCAATATTGTTTCCATAAGCACTGATTGGCCCGCCCAACCATTCCCTAAACCCAACCGACGGTTTTAAAAAGAAATCCAGAAAAAGAAAAGCCCTCGTCTGACTTCCACTATGTTTTCAGATTTTCCCACATTCTCACC